CTGCATTATGCAGATGACACAAACTGGCTTGCTGAAACTGAGGAGGACTTGAAGCACTTGCTGTAGAAGGTCAAAGACTGCAGCCTTCAATATGGATTGAAGCTCAATATCAAGTAAACAAATACTCTCATCACTGGACTGATTGGCAGTATCATGATAGATGATGAAGAGATTGAGATTGTTAATAGCTTTAGTTTGCTTGGCTCTACAACACTCTTGGCACCAGCAGCCAGGAAATGAAAAGATGAATTTCATTGGGAAATTCTGCTGTCATAGACCTCTCCTGAGTACTGAAGAGCAACGAGGTCGGTCTGGAGAGTAAGGTGCACCTGATCTAGGCCATGATATTTGCAATTATTTGCTATACATTTGAAAGCTACACAATGACTAGGGTTGATGGAAGGAGAATTGATACCTTTGATCTGTGGTGCTGGAGAAGAGTATTGAATATATCATGGTCTCCTAAGAGAACAAACAAGTTCATCCTAGAGAAGGTGAAACCAGGCTGCTCCTTGGAGGCAAGGATTCTAAAGCTTCACCTGACATACTTTGGACATGTTGCAAGGAGGGATCAGTCCTTGAAGAGGGATGTCATGCTTGGGAGGGTAGAGAAACAGCACAAGAAAGGAAGACCCACGATGAGATGGATTGATTCAGTGACTGGGGTAATGGTGTGTCAGAAACAATAAGATTGGCACAGGATAGAGCAGGGTTTAGGGCTGTTGTACACAGGGTCACTATGAGTTTCAGGCAACTCGATGTCACATAAGAACAACAACAATTTTAAAAAGAAAACCTCATTTCATTCAGAATTGAAGTGCAACATGGGAATACTTTTTTTTTTCTTTTAAGTTGACAGCTTGAGTATCACACAGTTTATGTGATTTTTACAGGGCTGGTAAATTATGGGGTTGGAATTAGGTTCTATGTTCTCTGACTCTAAAAACCTGTGCTTATTCTTTCATGATCACATTATCTTCTACTTTGAATTTTTTGTTGATATTTTATGTTGTCAGCAGTGGAAGGCATGCTGAAATAAAGAATTTTTTTAAGGTTATATGAATTTTGATACAATTATGTAGGACACATGTGTCCCAGGTGGACACTGATGTTAGGAGTCATAATGTGAGGCTCATTTCTTCAGTGCACACAGTCATCCTGGTACCTATGAGGCAACAATAGCATGTTCTACAAAAAACATGGGTGTCATAAGTCTGCTTAGATGTCAGTTATGGTCTCTTTGGGGTATATTCCCAGTAGTGGAATTGCTGGGTCAAATGGTATCTCTATTTGCAACTTTTTGAGAAAACGCCATACTGCCTTCCACAGTGGTTGCACCATTTTACACTGCCACCAACAGTGAATAAGGGTTCCAGTTTCTCCACAACCTTGCCAGCATTTGTTGCTTGCTGTTCTGTTGAATTTTGCTGTTCTTCCTGGGGTGAAATTATATCTCATAGTTGTTTGGATTTGCAGCTTTGTTCACAATAGCAAGTAGTTGGAAACAACCTAAGTACCCATCAACAAATTAATGGGTAGAGAAGTTGTGGTATATTCATTCACACAATGGAATACTACGCTGCATTGAAAAACAAGGAACTCATGAAATATTATTCAAAATGGGTGACCCTGGAGGACATTATGCTGAATGAAGTATCTCAGTCACAAAAGGACAAATACTGCATGGTGCCACTGTTGTAAAACAGGGCTGACCTTGGGGTTGGAAATAGAATGAGAAAGATGGGTTCAATAATGTATACTGCACTGAAACAGATGAGGGTGAAAACTGTTTAAAAGGGATATGTGTTTAGGTATTACTGTCATGACAGGAGTCCAGAGCGAAGGCGGCATAGTGGCGTGGACGTGGGGGAGGGTTTGTAAAACAATGAAATAATTTTTCTTTTACTTTTCCAAGAGGGTAATGTACTAGGGGGGAGGATTTGTAGGGGAGAAAATTACAACAATAAATGAATACAAATCCAAAGCCTCTGTATATTTTCATTGAAATTAATAATACATTTTTAAAAAGGCAAAAAAAGGACAATTAGAAGAAAAAAAATAGTAGCATGTTCTACAACTAGGATAGAAATGTCACAAACCTGAAAGTTTGAAATTATTGGTGGGTTGTGTATGTCCTACAAATCATGAAAAGGTTCTAGTGTCCCAGGCTTAATACCTATTTTGAATTGTTTAAACTCCAGACTTTTAAGAATAGGTAAAAACACTTGCATAAAATAAAAACCTTCATGTAATATTAGTAGAATTTTTTGTTTTATAATTCAAGGAAAACATTAACTTTTATAATCGACTACTATACTGGCAAATAGATGCATTAATAGTGGTGACATAAGCTTGACACAGACTTGAAAGACAAGTTAACTTTAATTAGATATCACTGTTTTTTTGCTCACGAGTGTATATAACAAGGGAGCTTTCTTGAATTCACCATGTAAATGCAGATTAGGAGGCTTGATAACATCTAGACAGAATCTTCACTGGTTTTCAATTCTAGAGCATGGTAGTTTTCACCGTAATTACTGAATGGCTTAACAATCCACAGCACAAAGACTCAAATCTCCAGGTCAGGCAAATCATTTAAGTTATTAGATATCCCTCCAAAGTCCTTTTTTATGTGCCACTCATATTTTGATATATAATATTTTCAATGTTATACAGTTATAATTATTTAATAATTTCCATTTTGACTTTTTTTTTTAAAAACTATGGCTTTAGATGTATGCTTTTTAATTTCCAAACATTTGACGTATAACTATTTATTGATTTTTAGCTTAATTACATTTTAATCCCTTGACATTTGAAACATGCTTTATGTTGGAATGTAAGAATTACTCTGGTGTATAGAAGTGATGTAATTTGGTATACTATCAGGGAATAGAAATGTGAATAAGGGGAAGTTTTATAAATTACATATTTACGATATTTATAAATGTCATTTGTACTTTCAATTTCAAAATTTCCCATTTCAATGAAGACATTAAAGATCATTAGCATCTTAGATCTTAATTGATAGCATGAAGTTTATTTAAGTGAAATCCTTGATTAATCATTTCTTGAGACAGAAAAGACATGAAAATATCTGTACCTCTTCTAAATTAAGTCTCTAAAAGAGATACAAAGATGAATGCTTTCTTTTACAAGAAGCGAGGCTATGCTCTTTAGCTATTTTCAATTGCCACACAGTTTGGAATTGCATGACAAGTTCTTGTAAGCTCCATAGATATATCAATTAAAAGCAGTTTATCTTCTCTTTAGAAATAATTCCCAGTGGTTCACCTTCCAGGCCTCTGAGAAGGAACAATATTACCAGTGAGACACTCCTTCCTTAGAATAATAACCAACCATATGAGGTCAAAAGAGCAGCACTTGCCTGAAGGCAGAAAAGAGTAGGTTAGGTTTAATGGAAGGAAAAAATCACAGGGAAGAAGTGAGAAGAAAGCAACTACATTGTGGGCATTGTAATTAATATTATAAAACAAAATGTGTATAACTGATTGAATGGACAGCCAATTTGCTCTGTAAACTTTCACTCAAATCACAATAATAAAAATAAAATAATTTCCATCCACACTCCAAACAGCCACTGTTCAGAATCCACTGTCTCTGGCAGCTGACTGTTCCTGTCCCTCAGTGACACTTCTTTAGCAAATGCATTGTGATATTCTTCACAGCCATCATAGTTTCCGTACAGGTGGGTTTGATGAGCGCCTCTGGGAGCAAGAATCCAAAATGCCCGGTGTCACGTAGCTCAAAAGCAAATGCATAGGGTATCCCAGTTTTGTAGGCCCAATCCATCGAGCTACCAGAGCTCACATCTACAAGTTCATAAAAAAAGAAAAAAATTACCATCACTAAGGAAATGCTCAGAGCTTTCGTTCATAGGTTCACTATGAGTCGCCTAAGACTTGACAGCACTTAACAACAACATAGAGAGAACTCCATTGGCCTAATGGACAGAAAGTGATGCTACCAAGCCAAAGGTGGATGATTTTAGTCTGCGGCCCTCAGGCCTGGTTTTGGTTTTTTTTTGGTCAATCATTCTTCTAAGTGGTATAGCACTGGTTTGTCTATTTGCTGTACAGAGGTAACTCATGATTGCTGTGATGTTAAACACTGTGACACTGATGCATTGAATGCGATAATGGTTACCTGTGGTGGACAGTGTTGGTGGTACTCCCTGATTAAAACAAGCTTGAAAGCAGGAGTGGCATCCACTTCTGAAATAGCTTGCCTCTGGAAACTCTATGAACTTGAAGAAACGATGAAAGCTATACAAATGTTCAGGTCATTCATTCATACAGTTGCTATGCGTCACCTATGACTTGATGACAATTAATAACAACAACAACAACAACAAGGAATCTATATAATTTCCAAAATGGGTCCCTAGAACTTGTTTAATGCATTATTCTAAATGTCCCAATTAAATATAAGCACAGGAAGAATTATTTAATGTTTATATAGTATTTTAAAAGACCTAGTATGGTGGTGTAGTCCGTGGAGAGTGGTGCTGCTAAACCAAGGGTCGAGGTTCTCTGGTGGTTCAAATCCACCACTGGTTCTATGAGAGAAAAAGTGGACAATCTGCTCCCTTGCAATTTACAGCCTTGGAAACTCAATGGAGGTTCAGCTATGAATTGACTTCAACTAAACAGCAATGAGTTTGAGTTGAGTTGAGTTGAGTTCTTTCCTGATCTCATTCACTGCTGTCTCTCTGGTAACAACAAGGTCCCTTCTCCAGGACATATTTCATTAACCAAAGTCTTTTCTCTTTCATTTTTTTTTAAATTATTTTTTATTATTATTTGTGTGTGTGTGTGTGTGTGTGTGTGTGTACTGTTAAA